AAAAGAATGCCCACCATATCATCTCATTCCTGTGAAATTCTATTAAAAAGAAGTCACATTTATAGTAACAGAAAGCACATCAGTAACCATTCACTTTGAGCGAGAGCAGGATTAACAATAAAGATCCTTGGGAAAACATTTTCAGATAAGGGAATGCTTTACATCTTGATTATGGTAGTAATGATGGGATTATGTACATTTATACTCACTGAAGTGTACATTTAAAATGCATACATTATCTGTAATCCCAGCACTCAAGAGGATGAGGCAGAAGGACTGCTGCAAGTTTGACACCAGCCTGGGCCACAAAGTGAGCCCAAGGTCAGCCCAAAACGCATAGTGAGACCCTGGCTCAAAATAACCAATAAATAAATAAATAAATTTTAAAAATGGATATATTTATGAAGGTTAAATCTCAACAGATTTGATTTTTAAATTCGCCTTCTTTCTGGTATGAAGAAACAGAATGCTATCCGGAATAAATAAAGTTCATGTTACATAAGAGATCCTAATTTCAAGATGACTAGACATCTAATGAAGCATCTGACATTTCTTCCCAACAATAAACTACCATCAATCACCACTAATGCAAAGTATAACATTGAAATAACTCATTAAAAGTAACTTTTGAAGAGAACATATCTATTATAAAGTTCCTAATATCATACTTCAAGTCATACTTCTGGCCTTTCACAGAGATACAGACACATGCATAACACATCATCTGCAATTTTCAAAATTCTATGAGGAGGATGTTAATTCTGTTGTTTAACATTATCGCTTCATTATTTAATCTTTTTCCTATCTTTGCAGCCTCTGTGAGAACACCACAGGCCACTCCAGGCAGACAGTGCACTATTACCATCATGATGGAAAGAGTAAACCGGAAAGAACCTGCATGGCAGGAAGCTATGCTAGCACAGAATAGCTGGGAGGCAAAAGCCCAAGAAACAGATGCAGGTTGATGTACCACTAAGGTATTTCAAGCTGGAGAATCCATGACTAAATGTGCACTGTTCAATGATCACTCTGATGCAGTTCAGGTGTTAATGAGACAGGGGGAAATGGGAAGACTGGGAGGCTGAAGAGTGCAGATAAAGGGCTTTTACTCGATTACGATGAAATAGAAGAAGTCCATGCAAATAAGGTATTAACAAGGAGGCTGAACTGAATGAGAGGCTTTATGATAGCATGTAGGATATAGAATTAATGAGATTTGATTACTAACATTAGAGGCGAGGGTGTATTCTAGGATAAGTTTTGATTCAGAGGTTTCATCTGAAGTAACATTCACCAAAATGGGAACTACAAGAGGAAATGTTTGGGACAACAATGATTTCATTAAACATTAGGACTGAGGAGAATGACAATGACTTCATGACACAATAAGTCTGAGCAGTATCGAGCAAACCAAGTAAATGTGATATGAAGTCAGGAATGATCTAGTCTGAAGTCAGAGATAAAGAGTATCTTAGGTCCATTTTTTTCTACTGTAATGGAATGGGTAAGTTTAAAACAATGGAAGATTATTCCTCTCATGGTTCTGAAACCTGGGACAACCAAAATCAAGGGGCAGCATCTGAGAAGGATTTTCTTGCTATAACATAACATGGCAGAAATACAAGTGAACATGCACAAGACAGACAGGAAGTGTAAGAACAAATATCTAGTATAAACACTCTAACAATAATGGCATTCATCCATTCAATAGGGTACAGTCCTCATGGCCTATTCATTTCTTACAGGTTCCATCTCTTCATACTATTAGAATGGTAATTAAATCTCACCATGAATTTTGCAGAAGAAATTCAAACCACAGAATATAGCTGAGTGACAAACTTTCAATGTGTAAAAAAGAAAAGAACTAAAAACACAACCCTAGAAAGCCCTAATATTTTTATGAGTAAGCAAAAGAAGATAGCAAAAACACTGATGCGATTTTGCATTTAAGGTCATAGAACACAAATACAATGACAAAGGAAGTTGTCAGCAACCATCAAATACTGAAACGTCATCAAGTGCAATGTATTTATCATGTAGGAAATCAGAGGTAACCTTTCTAAGAGCAGTTGCAAAACAACACTTCAGACACAAACCAGAATGCAGTGCTTTGAGGAGTAAAAGAGAAGTGAAGAGTCAGAGAAAGTCAGTGTTCACTAGTATGTCAATGACTTTGGCTAGGAAAGGAAAGTGAATATTTAGGTCAATCACAAAGAGGAAACACACAATAAAGAGCTGGTTTTTAAGGTGTGGTTTGGGCCTGTTCAGCGGGTAATGTAGCAAGATTCTTGGGCGATGAGTAAGATGACAGGTGTCAAAGGGAATGTTGTGGGATACACAGTAGACGCAGTGGTGGAACTAGTCAGGGACAAGAAACAGGACTCCTTTTTCTGTAACTTCTGAGAGAAAGATTCTTGATGAAGTTTAAGTGGGTGGGTGGGTGGTAAGGTGCTGATAAACTTAATGAAGTGCCAGTTAAAAAGAGGCTCTGTTAAGAAAAGAGGAAACTGATCATCTGAGTTTACAGAGAACAATGAAGGTTGGAAAAGGTTCTGAAGAAAATCGAAGAACTCTAATATCTCAATAGCACAATTAGGGCCTTTCTTTTTAATTAGCCTCAGTCTAAGTATGTAGAAATATAAGATAATAGCTGTCATATAAAGAATTCTGAATACTGTACATACTGCTTTATATAAAGCAGTATTTCTTGGCTTCCTAGTAAGAGCTTGACACTTCCAGTGCTTCCTGAGGAAGACATGTATTTGGAATCTTCTAAATGGTGTAATACTCAACATTTCTTGTGTAATCACTGTAAGGACCAAGAATAGAAACTATCCATGGAACAGTTTTCCTTCAATATTACACTAACTGACCTAATCTAGGAGTCAAACTCCAAAAATCTTAAGCATATTGGCATCAGCCACTGCCACGTTTACGTATGACCACATTCTATTTTAAACTATGATTTATGATCTAGCTTTACAATTTTAAATTGTAAGCTACACCTTTCATGTCAAATTTTCCAAAGGCTTGCATAACAAGCATCTGAAAAAAATCTCATAAATGCTCCCTAGTGGAGAAACCACACATGCAACTACCTGTTTACATATGCAGTAACTTGAATTATACATGAAAATTCTACATGGATGCCCAGAATCAGCACTGTGTTAATTCAAGAAGTATATTAATTTTTGGATGTATTTAGTAGCAAATCATAAGAAAAATCTGTTCTTTAAACTGAGTTTTCTTTTTTAAATTTTTTGCTAGTTGGAATCTACTATTTGAAGGAATCTACTCTTCCCAGGAAAAATAATTTGATATAAATATTAATTTTATAATTCATTAAAAATGAGAAACAAAGCTTAAATTCTTAGAAATCAATCCCATATTTAGATGTTTGAAAGAGTCTATATTCAATTTCCCTATCCTATAAAACTTGTGTTATATTGAAAATAAAAATTTAAATGATAAATGTCAGTTGCAGAAGTTATCACCTTTTTATTTGAATGCCTAACTTCTATTGGATAATTCTCTTCCAAGAGACCTTCTTGGGAAAAAGAGGTGACAGCCAACTCAATGCCTAATTGATTTAGGAACAGTGCCCAGGGAGACAGTCCAATTAAGTTTACAAGCTGGCAATTAGCAGGAAGCCCTCTAAATCCCTACACTGAGAGCCTGTTTACTTTAGTAAGAAGGCAAATGTGCTAGAGATAGGAAGAGAAAACTGTGCTTTTTGCAAAGCTGTTGTGAGTAGGCTCACAAGGGAGGGTTGAAGAAAAGCTAGGTGTATGTGGGCAGAGAGCCTACTGTTTGACAGGTAACTGAGTAATTTAAAGGGTGAGAGGGACAGAGAGAGACAGAGAGACAGAGAGAGAGAGAAAGGGAGAGAGAGAGAGAGAGAATAAATGTGTATGTTTTAACAGACATGCAAAACATCAAACACCCACTTTAATTAGTGTTGTGTATGGAGACATACAACTGTTAAACATGTAGTTGGGCAAAGTATAACTGGATTATCTCATAATAAATGAGACTAAAACATTTTTTTTTCTTGCACAATTGTTAACATTATGGATAGATTTAGCTGCATTTTTCTTATGTAGAAGGAACACAGGCCTTACATTAGGTGCATTATATCTTGCAGGTTAAGCAAACCATTTTCACTGGGTTTCTTTCATGTGTTCAACTTCAGGGACAAATGCATTCATATAAAAACAGTAAACTGAAAGCTATTTAATGAACATCACAATGCCTTTAAAAACTATTTAAGATCAAATTTATAAAAAGGTTTTAAAATGTATTTACTTTCCATCTATTTAAGTTGCCATAATGTGTATTAATTAAAATTTACTTTTTAAAACCTAAGTTAGGGTCTCCTGAGATGTTAAATTATACACAACTATCTAGAATTGTTATTGCTACTTTAGGACATATGTGGTGATGTAATGTTACAAAAATCAAATGAATCATTATAATAAAATTTCATTTTAAAGTTTCTTGGTTGAAATGAGCTACATTAATATATTACTTTGTAGACACTGAAAATCTTTTTCAATATTTTTATCAAAAGGGAAATAAAAGCAAAAAGTTAACACAAATAGCTTTAGCAAATTCTAACTACATATCTGGCATTTTAAATTCTAACTATGTATCTGGCCTTCCTTTTAAAAAACACTTGCTTCATGCAGTTCCATATAGGGAATCAACAGATACAAATAATCTATAACAATTATTTTACAAAAGTATTATACTTCAGTTACACAGCATTTTTCAGTGAACAGAGGAAAAACTTTAAAAGTAATCACCTATTTTTTAAGGAATGTTTTAGTAGGATAGTTTAGAGAGTTTCAAATGTGAAAGATTATGCTTTTCAAACATCATGATGAACAATTTCCAGATTCTTTAATATCTACTACTCCTCTGACATTTAGAAATCATCACAAGGCTTTCTAAGGACACTATATAAATGACAAATAGAAAAACTAACATCTTTGACTTACCAAGTTTAAACAAAAGCACACCTAACGGTCCTCTGTCAAGCCTGAGGAAGAGGCGATCATAGATTTCCTCACGTTCAGGCTTCTGAGAAACAACTGGAGGAGCTATCCACTGCATTTGAACAAGACTGCTGGAAACATCAAAGAATTTACTGAATTGCAGAGTCTCTTTGGGTAAACAGTTTTCAGCCAAGAGCTGGATATTAATAGGCGACAGAGCCATATCAAAAATTTGCAGTTCCCCTTGGTTGCTGCCAACTAGCAGAACAGCATCACTTGGATGGCAGCTTATTAATGAAGGCAAAAGTTCAGCCTGGGCCAAGAGAGTCACTCTACGATGAGCTTCATAAAGAACTACTGAAGAATCTTCACAGCCCAGAATCAGTTTGTCTTCAGCAACATTCCTGCAGCAGCTGATAGCTTTCGATCTTAGTGGTATTCTGGTGACTGATACACAATGGATTTTGTTCCGAACACAATCAAAAATGCAACTGTCAGCCATGGGCTGTTTGTCTACACTGATGGAGTGTTCCACTGTGAACACCTGATAAGGCTGTTTGGCACTGAAGCAAACATCCAGTGGATCCCATTCTGTGCGAATAGAACTCAGAACCTGTAAGAAATGTACCAAGATAGACCCGTTTTTCTTCAGCTTTCACACATAGGTCTACATATTAATTCAGGAACTCACTAAAGAGTATCAATCATCATCTTAAATATAAGCAACATACAAATAAATCTATGATGGTAACTATAGCACATATATATCTCATTTAGAGAACATAGCCAAATACATAAAGCACAGCTACAGAAATTATACCATAAGATTTTAAGTTTAACACTTGGCTTTGGAAAATCTCTTTATTATTTAAAGTTAAATATGTCCTACAATGTATGACAAATCAACGAGGCGGGCCATTGGTAAAATATGGCCAGCAGAAGAATATCTTCAAAAGCTACAAGTTAGAAAGGATAAAGCAAGGATTGTAAAGGATTAGCTAATCTCCTTGCCACTCACTACTCTTCCCAATTCTGAAATTACCGATAAATTACTTCTCAGAAATGTACTTCTGGTTAGAAGGGCTGGAGAGAGAAAGGCAAAAAAAAAAAAAAAAAATTAGAACTCTGTTAACAGTCTTACAGAATTATTTTTCTACCAGAAATAATATGAAGGGTTGCTAAGTAGACAAATCCAATAGAAAGAAATGATGTACTGACTTTAAAATAAAAATAAAGGGCCATGGATATAGCTCAGTAGCACAAAGTACAAGGTTGTGAGTTCATTACCTGGCACTAAATAAAATAAAATAAAATAAAATAAGACATTATGACCTAGTAAATAATATCATTTATTATACTGGTAAAGTAAAACTTGAAAAGCATCTTTCTAGAAAAAAGTTGCTTGCCTACAAGAAACATCAATGTAAAACAAACAAAATCAAGATCATTCACTTGATTCATATATAAATGATGGGAGACCAATATCCAGGAGAATAGTAACAGGATATTTTCTAACACTTTTCCAAAACTTCAAAATTAGATGATAAAACTTCATAGAACTGCATGTACACACACACACACACACACACACATACACACACACACACACACACACACACGTAAAATTGGATTAAATCTGACTAAGGTCTATGCCTAAGTAAACAGTATTATACCAAGTATAATACTGATAATTATATTATGTTATATCAAGTATAATACTAATAATACATTGCTGACAAATTACTGTAGTAATAGAGTATTGCCACTGAAGGGAACAGAGTATTATCACAGAGTATTACTATTAAGAAAATATGCTATGCTATTTTAACAATTTCTTGTGAGTCAAATGATTTCAAAATTAAAAGTTGTCTAAAACAAAACATATGCAACTACAAATCTAGCTACATTACAGAATGCTGGATTAAGAATGAGAATAGGAGTTGATGTGTCTTTTAAATTCATTTACACATCAGCACCAACTTAATTTTTAAAACTAAGTACTTTTGTTTTCACTTTAATTCTCCTGTTCAAATCTTTCATTGGCAACACACTGACCAATGAATCAAATATTCATTCACTTTCTTGAGATGCAAAATACTGTAGGGCCCATATTAACTCTTTTTTCCCTCATACCTCTTTTTCTGCTTTTATTTTCCTTTTTGCCCTAATAAATTTCTAGATATGTGTGGTGAGCCAGGTACTGTTCCTAGGAATACAGCAGTGAGTATATCCTCTCGAAAGGAGAGCATACACTTGTAGGGGAGAAAGAATACAGTCCTGTCCTAACCCATTCAAGGATTCACGGCTGACATGAATAAGATCTATAAGAAATAGTACCAAAGGAGAAGCAAAACTAAATTATTTAAACAGTTTTCTGTGAAATGAGAGGCTTTAGTTAGAAAACTCAAAGGTCCAAGGAAAGCTGTATTTTATGCCTAGGTTTAATAAAAATGAATAGTTGTATAGAAGCATGATGGAACAAAAAGATGGCATGACCTGGTGGTAATAAACTGGAAGGATCTTAATAAGGCTTATTGCTCTGATTGTGTGTGTGTCTGTGTGCATGAGTACACGTGTGTGCGTGTGTTTGTGTCTGTCTGTCTTCACTACTTTTCTCCAGGTAGGACAGGACCCCATCATAGAAGTGTCCTGTGGCCTACTTTCAGGGGAAGTAAGTCACAGAATTACTTTTATGACCTCAGGGAAAAGATAGGAGATGGTCAGAGAAAGTAAAAGCAAAGGCCAAACAGATCTTTATGCTTCTGCTGTTTTCTTAAGTGTGCCAAGTGTCATATTTTGGGGTAGCATTTCCTGTAACCAATTATAGTCTAATATTCAAAGAAAACAATGACTAACAAGCAAACATATACAGAATATAGATTCTTAAACACATACTACCTAAGTGCTATACAGTAAAATACAAATTAAGTGGCATGAGGAGTGACAAGAGAAGCAGAAGGGGGTGTGATACAGCCCTGTCAAAACAGGGCTTCCCATTAAATATGACTTGAAAGATGGAACCAGGCAGTATTCTAGTAGAAGAGCTCCAGACCTCTAATGTGGAAGTTCTGTAGGCCTGATAATGGACCCAATATGGCTAGAAAAGGAGCTAGGTAGAGAGTACAAGGAAATAGGAATTGAGGAGAAAGAGAAGAGTAGTAGTTTATAGCACAGCAAGGCCTTGACATTTTCTTTAAACAGGTAAGAAGCTATATATGTGTTTTAAGCAAGGAAAGAATATCATCTGATCTGCAAACTCCAGGTTTATCTCCTCCCACCTTCCCTCACATAGCCTACTCTGAGTTTAAACTAAAACCTGCCCTCATTTCCCAGTTCTATTGCTTCATTCATATCCTTTGTCTGAAATACTTTTCACTCAAAAGAGACTCAGTTTTTCCTACCAATCATACTTACCATTAAAGAGCTAGACTAAAAGTATCCTTCCTGTTTTCCTGGATTCCTTCCAGCTGGGTGACGTCTTTAATCCCAACTCCTTATCTTCCTTCTCGGCCCCATCTTGGCTGTTACAGTTTGTGTCTAGATGTCCCCTAAAGCCCAATGCAGTCATATGGCTTTTTCAGAAGTGGCTGAATCTAGTGTGATTGATTGGTGCTGTAATGCTGAGAGGATTAACAGTTGGTGATTGTTGGATCAGTCTGCTGATTGAATTGGAACTGCCCTAATGCTGGTAGACTAGATACAATAAAAGGGGCAGAAGAGGCCGGTCTCCGGCCCCACCCTTGTTGTTTTTGCTGTCTTTCACTGCCATAAACCATTGCCCTTCTGCCATGTGCCACCCTGCCTTCGTACCATTCGATTATGGACTGAAAGCTCTACAAACTGTGAGCTAAATAAACTTTTGCCCTTTAACTTTGGGTGTTGGGTATTCTGTCCCAGGAAGCAGAGAAAAGTAACTAAGACAGACATCTTGGGCAATGCCTTTCTTGTGGTATTTAGCCTTCTATTTGCTTCTGATATTTAATCCTAGGTCTTTATTTTCCCTACAAACTTAAAAACATAAACTGTCTTGTGTATTTTACACCTTTATTTTTACCTATGTAATGCAAGCAAAACACTGTGCTGCTGGTAAGCACATAATAAATATTTTAGAACAATAAATTTTTAAAAACAAAGCAAAACCCTGTAATGCTGGTTGAAATATCATACCTTTAGAAAGCTTAAAGTTTTGTTAAGGAAGCTTTAGGGCATACTGAGTGTTTGAGCAGAAGGAAATGAAGAAAACTGAGAGGCCAGGTGACACTAAGTAGAGCCTGTACTCATACAGTGGCAGCCTGAACAGAGGCCCAGTCAGCCAGGTAGCAGTCTTGACCTAGAATGAGTCAAGACTCACAGTCCTGGGAAAGCTTCTCAGGTTTCCTATTTCCAAAAGTTTGTGAGAGCTTCTCTAATGGGCTCAGTGGATTCTTGAAGAGAAAGGAAGAAAAGGAAATAAAATCATGGACCACATGCACCCCTTTCTGATGCTGTCAACCTGTTTCTCTAAAATGGTAGTTAAGGTTACAGAATAGCTTGCTGTCATCCCAACTGTCTGTGGGGTTATGTGATTAAGGATGGTTATGCTTTATTTTAGGGGATTAAAATGTTTTATACAGTACAGTTAAAAACATCATTGATTAGCTCATAGTTCAACGGTAGAACATTTGCTCAGGCCCCAAATTCAATCCCCAGCACACAGGCAAAAAAAGGTACCATGCAATTTTAAAGATTTAAAAACACTTCATATGAGCAAGTTTCATTGGTTAACCCACCACTAATAAATAAGAAAACAAGGTACTGTGCTATTCACTTTTCATATACTGCTTATTTAATCTAGTAAATAAGAAAACAGGGTACTGTGCTATTCACTTTTCATGCACTGACTTATTTAATCTTTTCAATACCCCAAGGTTCAGTATACAATCTATATCCTAAAGATAAGGACAATGTAGGTCAGATGGTATAAGTTGCTCTTGATCTTAAATAATACGCTTGCAGTTTGAGTTCAGATCTGACTCTAAAGACTCCAAAGGGCACAAAGTCAAGCAAGCACAGATAGTTTATAACTTTATAAGACTAAATCAGATTTTCCTCATATGACCAGATAGCAAAAAATGAAAAAGACTAGATATTTCTCGAGGAAAGATCCCTGAAAAGGGAAGAGGTAGCAAAAGGTGAAAACCTCAAAGACAAATTATGCAGCTGACAGTAAAGGCTTTAACTTTGGCATGGGAAAGAAGGAAGCTTGTGCAAAACTGTTTTGTCAGATAGTGAATATTAATAGCAACTTTCCTTTGGAAGAGGGTATCTTTATAAACTGACATCTTTTAAGAAACCATTGTTCATTTTCTGATAGTTAGTTCTGAATACCCTGTAATATACTGTCATTCTCTTGAATGGTTTTACATTGTCTTGATATGTTTGGTGTTACAGTATACGAAGTTATACTCAAAGGAAAGAGATATTATGGTAACTACTTTTATGTCAGGATATCTTGCGGTGAAACACTATTTTGCTTAAATGGTTATGTTCTGACCTGCGCTGCTTTGTTGTTATGCCCTCTTTTATCTCAATCTCCTTTTTTAAATTATTTACTTTTTTATTTTTATCTTTTTA